ATATACCCCGGTTTATTATTGTCCTACTTTTTCCTTATTGATTTGTTCTATCGGTTTTTTATTCGGTTTATTCTTTTTTGGTTTTCCTCTTTCTATTTTCTTCCTTTTTCGCCCTTTTTTGTGAACAATTTTTAGATTCCTAGAATTTTATCCAAATTCCTGAACTTTTTTCAAATTCGTAATTTTTTAGCCCGTGAACATTTTTTAAAATTCACAATCTTTTTTTCAAATTTGATGAACAGTTTTGCTATTTTTTCAAAATTCGTTATCTCTTTTTCAAATTCATGAACTTTTCACAAATTCGTGAATGTTTTTCATTTTTGCAACTTTTTTAAATTTGTACAAACTTTTTTCTAGTTCACGATGATTTCGAATTGTTTTTTTATTCCTTTTCAAAACCATGATCTTTTTATAAAAGTTGTAAAGTTTTTTTCAAAGTCAATGGTCAACTCATCAACCAGTCATCTAGTGGGCATAGTTTAAACAACTGGACCGATGACCGACCCGATGAGCCTCTCGGTTCAAGTTTCCACCGATCGGACTGTCGGTTCATCAGTTCATTGTCTGGCATTTTACAATTAAATAATATATACTAGGTATAAATACTCCCTCTATTCCTAAATATAAGTCCTTTTAAAGATTCCAATATAGACTACATACAAAGTAAAATGGTGAATCTTTGCTCTAAAATACGTTTATATACATCCATATGTAGTCCATATTGAAATCTCTAAAAAAACTTATATTTAGGAAAAGAGAGAGTATATGTTGATGGTGTACTAAAAGAAGGATCAAATGGCACTGTTTCCTCGTAATAGGCAACGAAGTGAGCTCGGCCTAGTGGTTATTGGGCCAAGGTTTGGCTACGGCCGTCGACGTTGCCATGCGCACTTCTCCAAGAATAAAGAGAGTCCCCGTCAGGAAAACCCTATTGGACGCTCGCCGCGTCCAGTTGTCGAGGCTTCGCACAGAGAAGCGAGCGACTAGCGATCAAGATGGGCCGGCCCAGTCACGAGATAGGCACAGGCGCTACAGCGTCCCGGTTTTGGGAACCTTCTGGAGGGTTCCTGAACGGTTTTGCGAACCTTCTGGAAGGTTCTTGAACCGTGTTTTCACTGGTTTTTTCTGTTTGCTTTTTCTTTATAGTTTTTTTTCTTTTCTTTTTCTTTCTTCGTTTTTCTGTTTCTTTATTTCATCTTTCAATTCCTTTTTCTTTTCTTTTTATTTTCTTTTTGTTCATGTTTCAAATTATGTTTGGGAGTTTCAAAAAATAATCCAATTTCAAAATTTGTTCACCAAATCTAAAAAATGTTCATGTTTTCAAATTTTGCTGTGAGTTTCCATAAATGTTTCCATTTAAAAAATTGTTCGCAAATTGCAAAAAATGTTCATGCTTCAATTTTTGTTCGGGAGTTTCAAAAAAATGTACGCAAGTTTTAAAAACTGTTCATGTGTTCAAGTTTTGTTCGGGAGTTTCAAAAAATGTTCCAAGTTTTAAAAAATGTTCAAGTATCCAAAATTTGTTTTCGAATTTGAAAAATGTTCGGGTTTTGGGAGACTTTACAAAAATGTTCCCATTTCCAAAAATTGTTTGCAATTTTTCGAATTGTTGAGTTTTTACAAATTTTGTTCTCAATTTCTAAAAGTGTTCGCTGTTTCATACAACCTTCATGTTTTTTTTCTCAAAAATAGTGTTTCTCAAAAATGTTCGCACTTCCAAATTTGTTTGAAATTTTTCAAAATTGTTCTCTATTTTAAAATATGTTCTCAAAAAACAAAAAATGTTCGTGATTTACAAAATTGTTCATGCTTCCAAATTTGTTCAGGATTTTTCAAAATTGTTCTTCGTTTCAAAATTTGTTCTCAAGGTTCAAAAAATGTTCGTGCTTCAAAAAATAATCCGCGCTTCCAAATTTGTTCTCAAGATTCAAAAATCGTTCATGCTTCATAAAAATATTCACAAACTCCAAAAATGTTCAATTTCCGAAAAATGTTTGGGAAATTCAAACTTTTCGGTTTTCATAAAATTTGTTCACATGTTCAAAAAATGTTCATGTTTCCAAATTTGTTTACAAATTCAAAAAATTGTCCACATGTTTATTTTTTTTACTAATTCAAAAAATTGTTCCTGTTTCCAAAATTTGATCACATATTCCAAAAAATATGTGAACAATGAAATTTACAAGCTCTATGTCAAAAAATATTCCAAAAATTTGTTCACATGTTAAAATACTGTAGGATGATTTACAAGCTCTACATCAGAAATTTCTTTTTGAGATTGTAACATGCAAGGACAATGAAATTCAGCTGCCGTTAGTAACTTCTTTCCTGCAGAGACATGTAAGTTCTCTATTTTTTTTTCTCCTATGGAAACAAAAGAGATGTTATTTTCTTAGAGCCTGTTCTTTCATACCGAACAGTGAAATTAATTTCTTCTAATCGCATATATGTTTCTTCTAATTCTTCTTTCTATTCTCAAGGGTCTCATTAATACTGTCACCTTCAAGGGAAGTGCACTGCAAGATTCAACTCAAAGGAATACTTCCATGGGAAAAATGTTTCCTTACCGATAGAGCTATCTTTTTTTTCTCTTGCTGATCTAGTGATAGTTTCTTCCAAGACCTTCAACTGTAAACAATGTCCGAAAACAGCTGAAACAGTTATGAAAACGAGCAGTAAGACATGTACATTTTTTTGTCTTTCATGACGCCTTGGTGATACTATCATCACTCAATTTCATCAAGATGTAAGCTTACCACTTTTATGACAGTTTTAGAAGTACCACTTTGTAATAAATGTAAAATGAAATTTCATGTTTTTTTATAATTAAAAACTAGTTGAATCAATAGGAACAGCACCTGGTTTCATAAAAATGGAACCTACAACCATTGTTTAGTAAATTCAAGGTTTTTGTCTTTCATGTTTCTTTGGGAAACAGTTGAAACTGTACCATTGTTTAGTTTATACAAGGAAAACAGAAGAAACAGTAGAAACAGAAGAAACACTGGAAAACAGCAGGGACAACAATCAGTGGAACAACTTCGCGAAGCAGAATCAACGAAACGGTAGAAACAGTTCAAAACCAGGGAAACGTGTGCCTCGCGGCCCACAAAGCCCGCCAGTCAGCTGCTCCTGTACGAAGCCGCACCTAGTTGACGCAGAATGCGTCACATAGGAGTTCCCTCCCCGTCAGGCGTTTATAGTCTCGATTCACGCGGGACAGAGCGCAGCCTCGCCGGAAGGCGATCCCCAGACTGGGCTGGCCCATGCACGTGGGAGGCCACAACTTCATTTTTCTGCTTTCCCACATTTTTTATTTTTGTTTTCTGCTTCATTTTTTATTTTATTTTATAATTTACAATAATAAGTATATATATATCAAAAAATGTACATAAAAAATTTGAATTTTTTTAATCAAGCATTTAAAATTTTAATGGGTACATAAAACATTTATAATGTTAATTGAGTATTTGAAAATGTTAATCAAGCACTTTAAAATTTTAAATGAGTAAATAAAAATGTTTTCCATGTATATGAAAAAGGCATAGAGAAATTATACAATGTGTATGAAACAAATGTTGATAATATATGTTTTTAAATGTGTATTTAAATTTCGATCTTGTATTTAAATTTTCTTAATGTGTATAATCAAACTTTGATCATATGATGACATTTTTTATGGCACTAAACTTTTTTTCAAACACAATATACATGTTTAATGTTTTTTAAATACGTAATTAACTTTTAATTCTTGTTGTGTCTACTTTTATTTGATTTACGGTGTACATTTTTATGTACAGGTTTAACAAGATCAACATTTTTCATATGAACAAAAGAAAAACAACGAAAACCAAAAAAGAAACAAAGGAAATAAACTAAAGAATTAAAATAAAAATGCTAGAGGAAACCATTGCAAAAAGCATGGAAAGCAGCGAAAACCGAAAAGAAACAAAGAAAACCGATGAATACAAGAAAGATAAAAAAACAAAGCACCAATGAAAACCAAGAAAGAAGCATAAATAAATCAAATGAAAAACAAATGAAAAATGATAAAGAAACTAAGAAAACTGGTGAAAAACAAGAAAAAAACAAAGAAAACCGACAAAGAAAGAAAGAAACCGAAAAAAGGAAGAAAAACAAATAAACCCACATTCGAACCAGCAAAGTGATCATGAGCAAGCGAGCAATAAAAAAGGCAGAAATGGGACGGCCTTGTTGCTATGTGAAAAAGCTATTCCTTCGGGCAAGAGAAGCTGCCGACTCGCGTGAAACAAAAAATAGCTCTCGCTTTCCTCGTCGACGTTCTTCACCTCTGCTCGACCGCTACGGTAGAGGGTTAGGAGTGGGCTGTACCCCAGGCCAATTTTTTTTTTCTGATAGGCGGTTAATTTTCCCCAAGCATGCAATGGAGAGAAATAGTAAGACTTGAGGGTCATTTGGTTTGTAGCCTAAACTTGCCACGCCTAATCTTAATCGTGCCACAATAGCTTAGACATGTGTTTGGTTTATTGTCACATTTGTGGCTTGCCACATTTTTCTAGCCACTTGGTCCACATGTCATAGGCTTAACTTTTTCTCAAATCTTGTCACACTTATGGTGTTCATTTTATGAGCCACATTTTTTGTGGCAGCCACATTTTGCCTAAGCTTAGTTGTGGCAAAGTTAGCCATGAACCAAACAGGCCCTTAGTCACGTGAATGCCTCGTTTCATGCAGATTCCTATGGCGTGGGCAGAGAGCAAGGCGCTGCATCGTTCAACCAGTAGACGCCGCTGCATGGTATCCATGAGTCTGTACGGACGCAGCTCCTCTGACGTACGGCGCACTCGCTGACGTGTGGATCCAGACCCACGCGTCAGTGGCCCAACGTCAGGTGGCCGTATGTCAGGGGATCCGGCTCCGAGTCTGTGCGCCCCTGGTCTAGCGAAGGTGTGATCATGACTTTGCTTGGGACTCTAATTTCTGTCACGGTGTAGCAGCACTTTCCTTGTGCCGTCCGCATGCATGCTATGCAGGGAGCCGGCTCCTCTGACATGCAGGGGCCTAGTGCTTCCTTTATGCAAAGCAAGATCCCTATAAATACCCTCAAGCCTTCTTCTTATCGACACCAACAAGCAGTTCTCTCTTGCACACACATCAATCGATCACAAGTTCACCACACACACAGCCAGAGCTCCATCCATCACCTCGAGTCGTCAAGGGCCATGGCACAAGGGCAAGCAGCACGGGCCACGAGGGAGGCCGTGCCCACGGTGTCCCGTGTGGCCATCATCGGCAGCGGGATGAGCGGGCTCGCGGCCGCCAAACAGTTGGCGGCCTACGACCCCGTGGTGTTCGAGGCGACGCCGTCCGTGGGCGGGGTGTGGAAGCACTGCGTGTACCGCACCACGCGGCTCCAGACGCCACGCGCGAACTACGAGTTTTCCGACTACTCATGGCGCAACCGAGACGACCCCGCGTTCCCGACCCACACCGAGGTCGTCGACTACCTCGAGGACTACGCCGACGAGTTCGATCTCTGGCGCTACATCTCGTTCGGGTCCAAGGTGGTGGACATCAAGTTCCTCGGCGGCGTCGAGGCCGGGTTCACCGAGCAGTGGAGCGGCACCAGCAAGGCTCCGCTCCGGGGCAAGCCCACGTGGGAGGTCGGCGTCGCCACCGGCGGCTCCGACACTGTTCAGGTACTACCATATATACTTTGTGTGCTTGCTTTGCAAGATTGCTTTTACATACTGTGCACCGTGTTGTCATAAATTCAATCGACCTCACGCGCATATTTTATGACGGGAATGTGCAGTATTACAAGTTCGAGTTCGTGGTGATGTGCACGGGGAAGTACGGCGACGTGCCGCGGATGCCGGTGTTCCCGCCGGGGAAGGGGCCGGAGGTGTTCAAGGGGACGGTGATGCACTCGCTGGACTACTGCAAGCTGAGCGAGGAGGAGACCGTTGAGCTGATGCGAGGCAAGAAGGTTGTGGCGGTTGGGTACAAGAAGAGCGCTATCGATCTAGCCAACGAATGTGCTCAGGCAAACCAAGGTGCGTAAAAGCACACTCCCATAGTTAGCTATAGCTTCTACTGTGTGTCCAAATTCTCCTAAGAGAAGTGCATTTTGTTATCCCTCGACTTATGAAAATTCTCTTAAGAGTAAATTTTGTCCCAATTCTCCTAATTAAGAGTAAACCAGGTCTTGGCCGAGGAATCTACTATTCGATATTAAGTGTTGGGGCAGGAAGGCTGCACTAAGATGTGGACAAAACTGTGCCACATCAAGTTAAAATCACGTTTGACCAAGGAAGGTCACTGTCAAAGACTTGAGAGTTGGGAGGTTGCACTAAAAAAATTCAGGGACAAAAACCACATTTCTTGATAAGTTGAGGGATGAAAATGCACTTTACTCATCTCCTAAAACATGGATCGGTCGATTAACTGATTGTGTTTGCTTTGCCTTTTTTTTTTGGTTGGGACCAAGACCAACTATACCTGTTCATGGACAACCCGGCCCGAACCTGAAGCCCGACATTCGGGCCGGGCTTAGGCTCCAGTTTCTCGCTCGAAGCCTAGCCTGAAATGACTATATATATTTTTTATTTGAAATATAGGTATAATAAATTAATAAAATATCCCAAATATGATTTATCTATACCAATATAAAAAGACCCACAGGGGTAGATCCAATTAATCTCGGCCATCAAATCATGTCAATCCAACGACCTAGACTGCTTCAATGTCGAGTGCTCAACACGTTTAGCGTGCAGTTAATTTCATGCCAAAATAATGCTAATCACATAATAACACGCAAATAATATCCTACTTAATATCCACATGCACTTAATATACTTTTAAATTAATGTGCATTGCACATACACAATGACTAGTTTAATTAAAAAATACCACTGTTCATGTGCTTCAGGCCGGGCCGGGCTCGGGCTTGGGATTTTTTTGTCGAGCTTTGCCAAGCCCGGCCCGAGGAATTATCAGGTTCAGGACCAACTTATAAGTTAGGTACCTGAAAATAAAAGTCCATCGGTCACTTTCAACCAGAGCCGTTAGGTCTTCATCCAATAACAAAAAACAGATCGCACATTGTTCATCTTCTACCTCACTCTCTTCTTCCTCGCGACGCTGTTCACCTGCCTCGCCCTAACCGTCGGCCTCCATCACCCGCGGCCGGCCAGCGCTACCGTGCACAGCCTCTCCGCCCCACCCTCTCCTCGACCTCCCCCCACCGCCGTTGTTGGCTGCCGCCCCGGCCATCCCTCTATGCCCCGCC